GGGGGAAGGAGGGGGGGAAGGAGGGGGGGCTTCAGCAGGCAGGAAATGATGGGAAAGGAGCATCCTCAGGTCTGCGACTGGAACGTCACCTCCAGGCAGGCTTGCCTGGCTAGCCTCACGATCTTGGAGAGGGTCACGGCCATTTTGGCCGCGTGGTCCAAGTCATCGCAGGCCAAGATTTTCAGGCTGCTCTTGGCTATCAAAAGTTTCGCCTGCTCCACTTGTGTGCCTTGCAATCGCACCACGACCGGGATTTTGAGCTCCAGCTCGGTGGCTGCCAGGATGATTCCTTCAGCAATAATATCGCATCGCATGATGCCCCCAAAAATATTCACCAGGATGGACTGCACCCGCTCATCAGAAGTGATCAGTTTAAACGCCTCCTTCACCTGCTGTGCGGTGGCTCCTCCTCCGACGTCCAGAAAGTTTGCCGGGGTGCCCCCGTGCAGCTGAATGATGTCCATGGTGGCCATGGCCAGGCCGGCCCCATTCACCAGGCAACCGATGTTCCCGTCTAGCCCGACGTAGTTGAGGTCAGCACTTGCCGCCTCCCTGTCCCGCTCGTCCTCCTGGGTCCAATCCTGCAGTTCAAAGATCTGCTTCTGGCGGAAAGCCGAATTGTCGTCAAAGTTTATCTTTGCGTCCATGCACATCACCTTCCCTGTGGAATCTTCCACCATGGGGTTAATCTCCACCATGACAGCATCATATTTAATAAAAAGGTTGTAAAGCTTGACCATGCTATCGGCAGCTTCGCCGACCACCTTAGCGCGGAAACCCATTTTCTGGGCCAGCCGAAGGGCCTGCTCCTCTCGGATCCCCTCCAGGATATCCACGGGCTCCTTCAGGATGGTCTCCGGGTGCTCGGCAGCAACGTCTTCGATATTGACCCCTCCCTGAGAACTGCCGATGAGCACTGGCCCCTGGAAGGCCCTCTCCATGGTGATGGCAAAGTAGTACTCCTTCCTCAGGTACCTGCGCTCACAGACCAGGACCTGGTTGCAGATCCGCCCCGTTTCCCCCGTCTGCTTGGTGAAGAGCTTCTTCCCGATCATCTGGGCGGCCACCTCCCTGGCCTCCTCGGGAGAACACACCATCTGCACGCCTCCCTTCAGGCCCCCTTCGAAGGTCCCTTTTCCACGCCCGCCGGCTAAAACCTGGGCCTTGACCACGAGGTCCTCTGTCCCTATTTCTCTGGCGGCATTGTAGGCCTCCTCCGGTGTCTTTGCAACCAAGGCGTGTGGAACCGCAACCCCTGCCTCCTTCAGCAGCTTCATGCTCAGGTACTCGTGCAGCGACAGGCGCCTTCGCTGCAGCCCCGAGGGCCCGGGGTGCCCCGCGGCAGCACTCACAGCTCCCAGGCCGCCTCTGCCGCCCATCCGTCCTGCCACTCTTGCTGCCCAGTGGCCAATCATGGAGGAGGCGTCTTTGGCTTTCGCCAGCCTTTTTGTCTGCCCCAGGCCCCCAACTGCCCTTTCGAACAGAAAAAGAGGTTTCCCAGCATTCTTTCTCCAACTGCCCGCGGCCCGGCCCGCGATTGGTCAGGGCAAGGTTCCACCAGCCCAGCCTGGCCGGGCGGCCAAGGGGCTCTGGGCCAGGCGCCACCCCCAGCAGCCAGGTGGGACTCTGGACCCGGACGCGCTTTGGCGCCGGTCACTAAGGCCACCCTGCTCCAGAAGCGACTGGTTCCGTAGGGAGCCCTACACCTGCGCCACAGGAGTCCCTGTGCTGTCCGCTGAATCCTCCGGCTTCTTCTGCAGAACCCTTTTTCCTCTTTGCCCCGTGTCCGCTGCTTGATCTGACTTGCTGCTGGTTTCGGTTCTTGTTAACCCTATACCAAGGGGACCTTCTGCACTGGAAGGGAGGATGTAAATCTGCAGCTCGCTACTTCTACCTAGCTAGCCATTATTTATGCCGTACGTTTTAGATGACTGCATTTGCCATATTTGTCTGAGGGGTATTATTTACTTTTGCACTATTTTATAGAGCTGCTGTTATTTTTGGAAGTTATGTGGTAAGCAGCTGTGGGCTGGGCTGCCAGGAGAGCGCAAGCATAGATCTGGCAATAAGGAACGAAGTACAGAGGATGGAGGCTCGTGCGCAGCAGCAGCTAGACTGGCCCACGGCGTTTTGCAGAGCAGGAGATGCCTCTCCCAAATCAAGGCAGCCATCTTTTCTCGGCACACAAGGCCAAGGACCCCCCAGACCTCCTCCCCAGTCCTGCCAGGAAAACAGAACAGCCATTTCCCTTCCAAGAACCGGCCGTCCTTTCGTGATGCCCAAGATCTGCCCTTGAGGTTAACCTTGCTCTCCGCAGCCATTTTTCCGATTTGGTTCCAGTTAAATTTATTTGCAGCCACCTTCATCGCCTTGAAGATTCTCACTGAAACTGGGGTGGACAAACTTCACTTCATACATTACAAGTTACTGCCCGCAGGCACCAGGCTGAGGCGGGTGAAGAACCCAAGCAGAAGAACCGCTCCGCGCGCTGCCAAACGAGGGTCATTCTTTAGGCAGTCTGCGGGGTGGCTGGGAGCCACTGAAGGTGGCAAAGGTTGGACCGTAAACGCAAAAGCAGTTACAGCAGGTGCAAGTTCCACAAAGAAGCATGGAACAGCAAACACTTAACGTAATATGGCGAGACAGGAAAAGCAAGATGTGGGTCTGTCAAAGTTACCTGGAATTTTAGGCTTTATTATTAGCATCTTAATAAAGGTGGTATTAGCATTTCAGCATGGCATCCCTGCCTCCTTCTGAAGTTTAGGAAACCATGTTTTTCCTTTCAGCCAAAGCCATTTCCTCCGACGTGCAAAACCTAGCCTTTTCAGGGACCATCAGTCAGATAACAGGGCTGTATTCTGAAGTCCTTAAGGGTGGCAAGTGTTCAAGAAACAAGCCCAGGTGGGAAAGGAGGAGATGCAACATATTTTAAGGTGTTTGCCTTTTCACACGACTAATCAGTGTCTTTTATTGTCTGGTTTGTTGCTTTCTGACGCATCACATATATCGAATGTATGCATCATTTGTTTCTGTACCCTATATAAAGACTTGACCCCCCCCCATAAAATGCTTTTCACTTTGCCTGAAGTCCTTGTGGTTCGTATGGAGGGGGGCGGTTTGCAAAGATACTGCGTGTTTTCTCTCTCAGGTTCAGGGACCAGGTCCTTTCCAGCTCCACGCCGCTCAGGCGCCTGAGTTCCATGGGCAAAACCAGCAGACAGGAGCACGTGACCGAAGGGAGCTTCACAGAAACGGCAATGCACTGGCCATGTGGCCCAAGGAATAGATCGATGCTGGACCCCACTGGATACCCACTGACCTTAAAAGACCCAGAAAATGCCCAAAGTAACCCCGGGTACATGATGTAACTCCGTTCAACGGTGTTAACCACACTGAGGCCCTTGGAGAGCAGGTGAAGCGGTCTTCATGGTGCCCGGGGCTGAATCATGAATAAAAGGTGAGCGGTTCTCTTGGGTAGCTTTTCTTCTAACACAAGTCTGTGTGTGTTGTTTATTTATAAACAAAAACAAACATTACAAAGTCAAAATGAGTCTCTACATGTCTGTTTCCCTGAGGGACTCAACTCGGGTGGGCACTGAGCCCATGCCACTTCACGTGGCCCGTACGCAACTTTCTCCTACTAAATGCGGCACTCATCGAGTCTCCTTTTCAGAGGGAAATTCGTCTCTGTTCCTTGGGAACCGTTTATGGCTCAGAACGAGGGAAGCTCCAGGGTCCGGCAGGGAAAGCAGGGCTCCCAGGACTGGGGCTCCCGGGGGCATAAGCGAGGCTGGTGAGGTCACAGAAGCTCTTGCTGCAGCCAATGGGAGACCAGGAGGGAGCAGCAGATTGATCTTTCAAACTGTAACGGCCAGTTGGCAGGTCTGTTGGAGGAGAGCCCAGAGGGAGACCCTGGGAGCAGGGCATCGTGCCACCTCCATGTTCTGGGCACAGGCAGTGCGAGGGGCCAAGCGGATGGGGACAAAGGTCTGTTGGATAAGCCGGGGCACTGGGCCACCGGGGTTTGGGGGAAGCCGGAGATTTTCCACGACGTGTCCGGGACTGCAGCTGCAGCGGCAGCGCCTCCGGCACTTATCTCTCCACGAATACCTGGGCATGAAGCTGCTGAAGGAAGCCGGCATCCCTGTTCCCTATGGCTTGGTCGCGAGAACCCCGGAGGAAGCCTACAAGGTGGCAAGAAAGATCGGGACCAATGACCTTGTGGTCAAGGCCCAGGTTTTAGCCGGTGGCCGGGAAAAGGGGATCTTCGAAGGGGGCCTGAAGGGAGGCGTGCAGATGGTGTGTTCTCCCGAGGAGGCCAGGGAG